AGAACAAGATAGACTTTTTTTTATTGTTTTAAATTGTTCTTTGTCTGTCTTGGGCAATTACTTTTCAAGCTGCTAAAAGCAACTAAAGCAGTTCAGACAAGAAACAACTTCTTTGCAAGACCCAGATACTCCAGGTCCTCTGCCTCCAGTGCACTTGGTTGTAAAATTCACAAATTGTTGGAAAACTAAGTTTCCAATAAAAAATGTTTTTAAAAGGAAGGTTGTAGGCCTTGCAATTAAAAACTAACCTTGAAAACAGCTTTGAGCAGAAGACAGCTCATGCAGCACTCTTTTACTGTTAGCAGCCTGGAAAGTTTGAGGTGCACTTTGTAGTTCTTATTTCAGTGAGCTGGAGCGATCACATTTATTAACTATTTATTTCTCCTCCAATCCTTTTATTAAGATATCACATTAAGATTCTTCTCAATCCCTGCCACTTGCTATGACTCTACGCATGACAGGAGTCATTAAAACCTCCAGCTCCCCTTGTCAAAATTTATGATAGCCAGCACAGCAGATGGAAAACTTGCCAGTAAGTATAATTTAAACTGACTAATATCAGACTAATCATCATAAGGACTATCATAATGATGGCATTATTCATGAACATATTTATTTTGTTAAAGCCTTCCCACTTGGAAATGAAGACATCTGGCATACTAGAGTGCTGCAAAATCAAAGGAAGGGCAAGAAAACTTTCTGTTGGCTGGTATGTGGGGTCCAGGTTAAGACATTTTTCACAGCATTTGAAACACACACAGAATTTTTTGCCCCTGTAACCAGACTGCCTTTTCCTCCTGTATTTTGTTCAAAGTTCTGGCTCTTGGGCTGGTATGTTATCCAGAGTTTTGGGTACCTCAAGCATGTTTAGAGAGGGGTGCTAGGTGCAAGTTACGGCAGTGCTCTTGACCTTCATGGCTGCCCTTTGGAGACCTCTCATGCAAGATCTCTTCATGCATACTCTAATTAGAAGTGAAGTATCTATAATCCATTTGCTAAGGTTCATAAGCAAGGCACTGATAAAGGCCTGACTACAGCAGTGTAAACAGTACAGAGATAATAAAAATACTACATGACTAATCCCTCCCTGTCTCTCTTTCTACATCCAGAATTTGCAGGATGACAAGGCTTAGGTACCTACCTCAGAGAAACCTGGGGAGAATTGGATCAATTAACGATTGCAGAGGGCTTTCAAACGCTAAAGTCTTTACATGCAATAAGTGGCTACCTATAGTAGGAAGCCATTGCTCTCTTTCCTAAAATTGAAAAAAGTGACATTGCCCACCACCACAATCACTGACATCATCCTAAAGCCACCTCATATCTGTGAGTGCTCCACTCAGAAAAGCTCAGCTAAGACATATATTCCTGTTAATATTATCAGTACGGCTTGCTGAAATTCACTGCACTAGGCTGCTCACTGACACCTGCAACAGCAGAGAGAGAGGGCAAATGAGCGGATATGAGAGAGAGAGGGAGAGATCTCTAACATCGCTGAGCTTTACAGTGCTCACTCCCAATCCACTTAAAATGCCTGCCACAAACCACACTGTCACTTCTGCCTTGCCGCTCGGAGATGCTAACCCAATGGACCACAACAACCTCCTGCTGCAAGCAAGTAAAACGCTCACCTCTTGCTTGTCTTTAAGACACAAGTATCTAGAGATAAAAAACACCAGCACAGCGTGGAGCGAGTTGCAGCACACTTTTTCCAGCTACCTCCGTTTCCCAGCCTGGCATTTCTAGCTGCTGCTTGCGATAGAAGCTGCATTATTTCGGCAACAGCTTTCTATATATTTTTTTTTAAACTACATTTTGCCTCATTTGAAGTCTGTTTCAAAACCCAAAGATTTTGTTTTCTTTTGCACGAGCTCCTTTGTAATAAGCCAGCGACAGCAACTTTCATATAGGAGCAAGGTTGCAAAGAAGCTTCTGCAGCCCTTGCGCAACTCTAACTCTACCGTATATACTGTGACAGGATTTACATCAGACCCACATGCTGAAAGCAAAACATAAACCAAAGGGCCTCTGCTTTTACCAGAATGGTCTCAGTCAAGAAAGGAAAAGCCAGGCTAAAAACATTTAGATGTGGCAAACTACTTATAAAGAAGCAAAATTACTTATCACAAATGAGACAACAGACACCTTAAATCTATAGAATGTATTCTGCCAAAGAATAACTTGAATGTGTACAACTCCAAAACCAGAGCAAAATAAAAGGATATCTAAAATAGTACTATTATCCCTGCAACACATGAACAGTTTTAATTTAAAAGGACACTGCCAAGTAATGATTTTCAGTAATAGTTTTAATTGGGTTTATTCCCATATTCCTTAGTGGCAGGACTCCCACTAGGATGTGAGATAAAGCAATAAAATGTTGACTATTTTCTTTTCTTCTTTTTAGGACCCTGTCATTACAGTATTGTAGCAAATTGATTTTTCTTCCTTTTTCAGAAACATGAAGTATTGCTCACAGATGTTTTGTATTTAAATGTTTTCCTCTAGCAATGCAGCTTGTTGTTCTGATTTTTTGGTAAAGCAGGAATTACAATGCCTATTTCATTTTATTTCTTTCAGAATGAAATCATCAACAATGTGACCAACTCTTTCTGAGGTCAGAAATACAGTTCCTTCATCGGTCATTTCAAAAACCCGTGCAACTCCATGTTTAACCTCTGGCTTTTCTTTGCTCTTAGTGCTATGGCACTGGTCAAAAGAAACAAAACCACGAGGAGGCTCTGCAGAAGGGCACTTAGAAAATTTGATCCAGCTTGAAACAAGTATGAAATAACATGGCTATCTGAAATTACTGAGAGTGTCCATTTAAATCACTGCTCTTCGGCTGGTAAACGAGAAGGAAAAAAAGAAGGAAACCTAGACCACACGAACATTCAAAGAAACGGGATAAGCACTCCCCAGACAACATGCTGGGCCTGATCTCTCCTCTACCCTTCTCCCTGCAACTCTCGTCACCTCCTTCTCCAGAAGCCAACCTCCGCACCTCTCGAGCTCCTCTTGGGACCCTCTGCGCCAATTGCCCTTCCCTGTCGCCTCCAGCTCCACAGGGCAAGTCCAGCTGCAGTGTTCGTATCGGAGGGGAGCAAGACTGTCTGACTACCGGCGAAGGTATGGCACTAAAGAGGCAATTAAAACAACTACTCACATCTTGTGCAAATATTCTCTCCCTCACTCTCTGATACTCCTCTTCTCTCTCTTCAATTGATTTACTTCGTCTGTCATCTCTAAATGGAAGAATTCTGTTTTGCTGAGCAGAAAGAAAACCAGGAGGGTTATATAAGTTGAGCTGTTAAAAACTGCCGTTAAGTAACTGTCAGCTGAGAATAATAAATGTTCACTTAAACAAATGAAGCATGAAAATGATAGCTGTCATTCCTGCACGAAGCGCCCGGCAAGGCTGGGCACCCGAGGGTTTCCAGTCAGATACTGCACGTGGGTTCGTTCAGCGACTGGCCGAAACGAGGCTTTCTGCATGGCTTTTGTGGACCCGCCGTCCTAAAATCGGGTGTTCTCACCCCAAGCCTAAGTGCTATTGCTCTCAACTGCTAAGATTTCTTGACACTCCTACCGGCTGCGAGGAGCAGGAGGGCAGGCAGCGCTGCGCTACCTACGAAATCCAGGAAGAAAAGAGGGAAACTAGGCTGCAAGAGCTAAACTGCAAACCCTAGAAGAAACCCACCAAAGGCCATGTGTGTACAAGGATGAGAAGTCCCAAATATTGGGCATGACAGTTTTAACCATTTCCACACCATAAGGAACCCTCGACTTCGGTTTCGCTGGGAAAAGAAGGGCCATTTGTGCCTCTCGGTAAACCACAGTGCAGGAAATGGCTGTGCCGTGGGAGGGAGGAGAGGAGTAGAGGACCCCCAACAAGAAATGCTTCATTGGCAACTGGGTTTCAAGTACTGCCCCTTCTCCCCCTGCACCCCAGCAGCTGGTGAGATAGGTCACGCTGCTCTCCTTTGCCTGCTCCCCATGTTCACCGCACCCTGAGAATGCTTGGGGTTTGTTTTTCGAAGCCAACTCAGATGCAGCATAACTGGCAAGGTTGCTATGTGAAAACATGAAGGAGGGTGGCAATGAGAGACTCACTGGCAGGTCCCTCCACAAACATAACCTAAGCAAAGAAAGCACACGCTGTCTTCTTACCTGTGAGAATTTTCTTATAAGAGCAATTCACGTCAGAACCCTTTTTGATTATTTTTCGTTTTGTTAATATATTCCACATACACAGCTTGCACTGGATTGAAACAGCACGACACCCGCTTTTAAAGGCAGCACAAAACACACACATTTCCCTGGCGCTCCCCTACTCATCGGGCTCACCTGAGGTAAGGTAGTGTTATGGCACAGGCAACACAGAGGGGGAACGTCTGCCACAGTACATGCACGACAAGCAAGTTACACAGACAGTAAAAGGTGGTGAGGGCACAGGAGGAGGGAGGGAACTAAAAAGATGAAACGGATTTATTTTTGTTAAAACTTTAATTTGTTTAAAATTTAAACTGGTTTTTAAAAAAAAAAAAAAATCAACCTGGCCTCACCATCACATGTTTGTTTGGGGCATTTTTTTTTAATTTTTTTTTTATTTTTTAATATTTTTTTTTCCTCTCCCCGTTTTGGGCTACATCAGTTTACCATCGGTCCATACTGAAATCCAACTCTGAACGGGTAACAACAGAAGGAGGAAGCTGTAGGGAGCGGAACAACTGCCATAGTTAGGCGAGACATTGAGAAATGCGACGGACACAGCCTTCCACGCAGCCCGGAGCCGCC